GAATACATGAAATCAAGATCACCACCATTAAATAGCTGTAAAATCAATAACTACCAAATTAAATAAATTTCATACACTTGTAAAAAAAAAAACAACAAAGCAATGAAAATAAAAAAAAATCACCAATTTTCCACTATCTATTCTACAGTAGGAGATCGAAGTCCAAGGATCACCAGTCTAATCTATTATGATGAATTTGATCTTAATTTTATTTTGAGCTTTGAAACATTTGACGAATTTGTTCTTCATTAAATGGGAGCCACGGTGGCTCAGTGGGTAGGGTGCTGGTTCACTTATAAGGAGGTCATGGTTCAATCAGATTAACATACAGATCTATATTTCGTTTCATTGTCTTATACTTTTGATGGCCTACAATACATGAAGATCTGACAAGTTGTACTCGAAGATTGTCTCAGGGGTTGTAAAGGTGGCTTTTGACCCTATGATGTCAGACATTGATTACTCAATCAGCATTGACGTTTACCCACAGTTCCATGCATGGCACGCCAAGAACTCGCTGTAACAGACCGTTTCATTGGCTTATCACAGACTTCAACCCAAACGCTGGTAATATAACAACACTTCCAGATCCTAGTGTAGTAAAGACAAGTAAAACGAAATTTTGAACTATAAAAAACGAAACGAAATAGGATCTGTGTTTTAATCAGATTGTTCATGGGTTTGATCACAGCATAGGCTGAGAAAGTTCATCATCTGTCAAGGGTTCTTTTAAAGATGCATTATATAAGATTTAGATAAAGAGCTGGCCGTTCTTGATGTAACAGTTCAAAAATAGATAATGCAAAATGAATATATTGAAAATTTCATGCAAATTACTTTATTCTGCGCAAAGTTATCTCTGTAGATTTGACAAGGTGTGTGCATTGATTGTTTAATATTATGTAACCACGGTACTGGTTATTCAAAACTTAGCCTCGCTTCTCCATTTTTGTATTAAATCATTAAATGGCCAAACCGTTCTAACCTACTTAAAATCAGAGCCATCTGATGGCCTAGCGAGTTGATCATGGTTTTTTCAGGTTGATAAATGCCTAATTAATCCTTTATATAATATTTAAGGCCTAAAGAAAGACCTGCAATAGGCAGATTTAGCTCTTACATAATGCACCTTTAAATAAATGGGTTATTTTACGGGCTCGCCAACGTGTACATGGAGGGAGCTTATTTTTTTTTCCATCCAAACAACTAGACACTGTTTTTTCCCAGGCCCTCCTCCATCCTTCACAACTAACACCATGTCGGAAAATCATGCAGTACGCCAACCCTCAGATCGAACTCCAAACCCTCTAGCTAAAAAACCAGCACATTACTCACTGAATCACTGTTGCTCCGTTTTTCAATGAATGGATACACGTGTAAATTTTATCATGCGTAATTAGAGCTACAGACTTCTATTTCCTGTCGGACATTCAAAGCCATGTTTAAAATCATTCTTATGTTTCTTCTAAACTTTCCTCACACAGAGGGCAGCAATTACAATGTAAATTAAGATCAACGCAAAACAAAATTAAGATGATTTGAGTCGATTGACTCAACGATAAAAGAAAAAGGCCAGGATTCTACTTTCATTTTTTTACTACTTTCATTTTGTTACCTTCAAATACAGGTGGAAGAGATCTAGAGCGATCTCCCTTCTCAAAATATGCTTGAAGAGAAAAAAATAGTGGAGGAAAATAAGAGATTAGTATACTATTATTAATAAACCACAGAAAATCTGAGCAAACTGTTCTTTTCTGTGCACAAAACTTGAATTCACTGACCTATATTCGTAATAGTCCCGAAATTACCTAGTTTGTGCATGTTAAACCCTATTTCTCTCTCTATATATTCGTAAATTTGCTTTAGTTGAATTTTCTGACCTTTCTCCATACCTTTTCCATATTGGATTATTTGTAACCATCAAATATTGGCTGACATTCAAATAAAATGGGGGGTGGGGACCTTTAATGTCCTACTTCTCTGCACCAACAGAGCTAATAAAGACAATCGTGTGTAGTCTGGTATGAGGGAAATTTTGCACATACAACACAGATAGAGAAATGGGTTTTAATGGCCATTCAACACAAGGTCAATTCGAGACTAACATTATGGTTTAGTTTTATTCCAATAATTCGCTTGAGCGGTAGGAGGAAATTGGAAGACCCAGAGAAATCCACGACGTTGGACAGGCAACTCTACTCCTTGTCACGTTCAAGTGGAGAATCGAAACCACATCACTTGATTCAATGACAGACATTGTGATTTCACACGCACACGTTAAACTGCTAGACCCCTTACCTCCCAGCACATACAGCAGTGTTTCCGCCTAATAGAATTTCAAATGCTATGGCACTATAATGCGTACATTAATGTGCAAATATAGAACCTTGAATTTTCGATTCATCAGAAGGACTAAACACAGTGGAAGAAAACAGAGGATTCAAAGAACCCAACAAGATTGGGCAGGTGATCTTACTTCTTGTCACGTATAAGCTTGGTATCGAAACCATGCTAGTTGACTATATTTAATGAAAGGTGTCATGTAGAAGACAGACCATGATTACTATGTTTATAAACACTTTATATCACTTCCCATTCTGAAGAAAAGAGAACAGTTTGCTCAGGTTTTAAAACATAGTCATTATAAACATTCTATAATATGCAAGCAAGTTTTTCTTTCCAAATATTAGAAATTCATCTTACTTATAAATTATCTACTAGAGTAGGCAGTTAGGCATTTTGTTAATTGTTAGTTCCAACAAAAGCAAAAAAAAATCCCCATGATAACGCCAACTAAGCTCCAGGACAGTCTAATAATAACATCTAGTAAGCCCCAGGTTTCCGATAGGGACAATTAATAATAACATCTAGTAAGCCCCAGGTTTCTGGTAGGGACAATAAATAATAACACCTAGTAACCTCTAGGTTCCCGATTGGGACAGTCTAATAACAATGCTTAGTAACCTCTAGGTTCCCGATTGGGACAGTCTAATAATAACCTCTAGGTTCCTGATTGGGACAGTCTAATAATAACACCTAGTAACCTCTAGGTTCCCGATTGGGACAGTCTAATAATAATGCCTAGTAACCTCTAGGTTCACGATTGGGACAGTCCAATAATAACCTCTAGGTTCCCTATTGAGACAGTCTAATAATAACCTCTAGTAACCTTTAAGTTCCCGATTGGGACAGTCTAATAAAAATGTCTAGTAATGTGTAGGTTCCTGATTGGGACAGTCTAATAATAACGTCTAGGTTCCCGATTGGAACAGTCTAATAATAGTCTCTAGGTTCCTGATTGAGACAGTCTAATAACCTCTAGGTTCCTGATTGGAAGAGTCCAATAACAACGTCTAGTTTCCCAATTGGGACAGTCTAATAATAACCTCTAGGTTCCCGATTGGGAAGTCTAATAATAACCTCTAGGTTCCTGATTGGGACTGTCCAATAATGACGCCTAGTAAGCCTCAGATTTCCGATAGGGAAAATTTAATAATAATGCCTAGTAACCTCTAGGTTTCCGATTTGGAAAGTCCAATAATAACCTCTAGGTTCCTGATTGGGACAGTCCACTAATAACACCTAGTAAGCTCCAGATTCCTGATTGGGACAGTCCAATAATTAGCAATATGAAAGGGGTCTAAGATTTATATTTGGTTTGTGTGTGTTCTTCAATACGAGGACGGGATGGGAATGATACTGGTGGCAAAGACTTCTTGCTATTTTGTAGCTAAACACGTTAAACACGTTCCAAATATAATTTTAACACAGAGATCACTTCTACGATAGATGCGTAGTGAAGGTTTCTACAAAAGCAAAATATGAGTTATCCTTCTATATAACTGACTAAAGTGATGAGTGATAACAGATCCATGGGCGAATTTCTGTTATCACTCTTCACCTCAGGCAGTCATGTTTTCTGTTTACTTTCATCACTTCCATTTGTTGTAACCTTGATAACGCATCTATCGTAGCAATGATTTCTGTGTTAAAATTATATTTAGAATGTGTTTAACCAGTTCTATCACATATGTGATAATGACTGACACCAATATTGTCCTTTAAGAAGGTTTGTGGGGAGACCTATTACTCTCCTATAAAAATTATGGTGAGGTTGACGTAACAAATTATGGAAAATATTGGAAAGTTATTTTGTGGCTTTATTTTGGGTGCCGGAGGAATCATTTGGAAAGAAAAGCACCAAATAAAAAATAGCAATTGGGGTAGGGGTGGGGAAACCTGAAAATAACCAAGAGGTAATTTATGCATGCGATAATATTTCTAGCAAAATACATGGCTTGTTTTGATACTACATGTTAAGGATACATAATACATTTCTACTTGGTACCTGCTCAGTCTTTTGGTTATTTTTTCAATCCTTGGGTTACATGATCAGTCATTAATTTATATTTTTTAAAGACCTGCGAGCACCCACATTAATACATTATTTTTATGCAAAGGGCGTAATTTTTTATAAAATTTTCATTTGATTCACCATGACTTAATGTCCTGTTGGCCATATTTGCTTAGACTTTTACCAGTTTATGTAGAAAAATATCTGGCATATATATATATATATATACAGAGCAAAACAGAATCCCAACTTCCAACCCTATTTAAAGTTACCATTAAAATAAATGTTTCCAAGACCAGACAGCTCACTATGCTGGACAGTCATTATCCAGCTAGCATTGAAAAAATGTCTTCCTAAAAAATGGTCTGTCAGTTTGCATGCTAAGAAGTTCCAATATATTTCTAAGGTATATTTTTAGATTTCAATGTCTTAATTATTGTAACATGAATAAAATGCCTAGCTGACAAATTTGGAAGTATGAGTCTTGGAGGGAAGGTATTACTCAGGAATGGTTTAGGGTCGGTCTGTTAAATTGACAGGTCTTTATTCCACATGCTGCCATCACCACAATGCTATGGTCAAAACAAGGGTAGAATTTAACAGAAATCATATTTTATTTTTTTGCTATCTGTCTCTTGACACTCACCTTTTTTTATTTTTGTTGCTAATGATGTGTCGATTGATTCACCAATTTTATTGAGTTGGTATCGTCTCCAATCTGATTCTTCTGGTTCATCTCCTCCTGTCAACGCTTGGGGTAATGGTTTACCAACATTAGAATGTAACGATTTTGTAGCGCACAAAGTTCTGTGACTACGCATCACTTGTGGGGAGTGAGACAAGTCAGATGAACTCTAAAATATATAAAACAACGGTCTGGTTAACAGGATACTCTTGACAAATTTTTTAATTGTCCCATTTTCAATATGCGAGTGCAAAAACTATAAATCAAACTGATTTTTTTGTAATGAAAGGTTAAATTCTTTGAAATTAAAATTTCATGGCATTAAAAATGACTGACAGGTAATTTCTCCAGACCGTCAATTTCGCTGCCAGTCAGTCAAGACTCATAGATATATATGAAACAAGAGCCACGGACTCAACCTAGGTGTGATCAGATAGAGAATGAAGAGAAATATTTTTGTTTCCTTTCTCTCAACGTAAAAGATCCCTTGGCCATTGGAATTTAATATAAGAGTAGGCTGTGCCGCTGTCCAGGCAAAACTTCCCTCAAAGCATACTGTATGGTATATGCCTGTCTTCATTAGCCCAGTCAGAGCAGAATAGTAGTATGTTTAACCCCATTTCATTTCTTTCTAAAATAGAGAATGGTATTATAATGGTCTTTATTGTCAATTCCACCTCACTGCCGTTTATTATATTGTATTTCATTTATTAAAGTCGATTTTCAGGAGAATTTTGGGGACATATGAACATATTATTTGCTATTAATTTACATACAGATGTCATTCTGAAATTATATTTAAAGGTAATGATACTATACACAGAAGCTAAAAGCAGAATCAATGTGTTTACACTGGCAAGACTGCCGAGGAAGCTTGTCCATGACTGTTGAACAAAATGGTGTAATCATTTTTTCAGGCCTTGGCAATGGAAATGCTCTTACTTGGCTTTACATATGTGTTAGCATTTGTTACCAAGGCTTTAATACATCTCGCATGTCCTGACTTTGCCTTTTTTACTCAGACTAAAGATTAATTGTCTGTCCTTATTTCACTAGATAGTGAATATGGGTAACATCAGTAGTACCTGGAGAGGGTAAACATCTGTACAAAAGGGTAAAATGTTACACTAAAATAAACAATCTGAGAAAATCAGGAATGAGATTTATCAATGGAGGCTCATTCAGCCATGAAACTGTGTCAAAGCTGCTTTTTTGGGGGAAATTTTCAAGGCATTTGTATATATTCTTTGAGTGGCATTTAGCAATTTAGTAATAAACACAAAACCATAATATGGAAAACAATTACTCTTTAAATTAAAGCAACGTGTTCCATGGTTTTGTGTTTATTTCATTTGTATATACTGTATATGCTATGCGCCATGAGCATGTATTGTGGATACAGCGCTTTATAAATGGACATATTATTATTATTAATATATTTTACCAGATATTACACGGCTACAGTAGAAAGCATGGCATAGTATGGTAAAAATATTAGGCATGTTTCTGATAATAAAAGAAATACTATAGGCTGCTATGCATGATGTTATTACATTAATCTTATAGCCTAATATGTTATTACATTAATCTTATAGCCTAATATGTTATTACATTAATCTTATAGCCTAATATGTTATTACATTAATTCTATACACTAATATATTATTCTTTCTTATTCTATCTATCTTAAAATTCTTAAAAATAAGGCATTAACTAAGTGAGTGAGCGTACCTACCTTCTCCTTTTTGTGTTATTAACAAATATTCTTAATTTGATTTTAATTAGAACAAATCATGCGCATTCATAATTCTTTTTACACAATTAAACAAAATATAAAACCATGAATAATGAGTTAAAACTAAACATAACTAGAAAAATTATAACTAAAAATAATAGGCTAAACTCTGGAGTGTACCTTCCTTGCCGAAACTTTTTTTTTCTTTAAAAAACAAAAAGAAAGAATTAAAGAGAAACTAAAATTATGAATCGTGAGTAAAAACTAAACATGATAAGATATTATACAACTAAAAGAACACAAACATTGTCATAAAAACTTACATAAACAAGGCTTTTCTTCTGAAAGGGGTTAAAAAATCTTTCTCAATGTCAACAAAATACTAACAGATATTGTTCATACTTGAAGCAGATTACCATATGCAGACCAGAATATGTGATGAGTTTCTAATTCGCAAAGCCGCGTGTAAATCTAGATCAGATTTGAACCTGCCACATATAGCAAAGGTTAGTATAATCTAAGCATCGTCTTTGTGAAGAAAAATAGGATTTTGGTGCAGCATATTAAACCTCCATTCATTTCATTTCTAATCTAAACAGATCCTTTTAGAAAGCTTAAGACAGTTTTCTAGAAGGCTAGAGTACTTCAATATGTCAACTCCCCAACATATCACAGATTATCAGGATTTACTTCATCCATTCTTCATTAGTCCACTGGGTCCAGAAAAGTAGGATATTAAACCTCCTTACACTTCATTTCCAATCTGAATATATCTTTTTTACCAATCATAAAACCACTGCACCAATTCTCAGAAAAAACAAGCACAGCTTAAACTGTTCTTGTTTAAGGTATAAGGAAATGTAGATCTGCCCAGGAAAACATCCAAAGTAAAGAATTTTATTTTCTCCAAGGGATTAAAAAAATGTCAATAAATTGTAGAAAAAAAAAAAGATTTAAATAAAACATTATTGATCAATCTCTTTAATCCATAAATAAAACACTCACTCTAATTCTTTGATCCATATCATCTGCTTCTAACGTTGTATCTTCAGATTCGGTCGTTCTTTTTGAAAAATGGTCTCTTTTGGCCTAAACCAAAAAATATTATACTTTAATCAATAAGCTGTTATGATATAGCACATGAACGCTCAATAGTAAGCAATAAACTAATAGAAAACATTTGAACAGCTTAATCAAATTATTTTATGGGTTTGCTCGAATCACATCTGGTGGGATAACTTATTAAATGCGCTGTGCTTGGGACCCATCTGTCAATTTACATGATGTAAAACTTGCATATTTCCCCATCCCAGTATCATGTTTTCCCATCCTACTGGCATGTTTTCCTATCCCACTGGCATGTTTTCCTATCCCACTGGCATGTTTTCCCATCCCAGTGCCATGTTTCCCATCCCAGTGGCATATTTCTCCATCCCAGTGGTATATTTCTCCCATCCCATTTTTGAACCTGTCACTGATCAATCTCTGCCACATCAACAGCCAGTATAGATAAGTGCATATGTACAGAAGACTTATCAACTTCTTATTTTGACTCAATATGACCATCTTGGCGCAGTGTTGTCAGTATATTTAGTAGTATTGGTTTCTTTGTTATATTTTGAACTATCATTTCTTAATTTTAAATTAATATTGACTGTGTATGTTTGTTCTTTCTGTGTTTTATTGCATAGTTTTCCTGGAAGGTTTATTAGAATTTAGTGTTACTCACCTGTAGAGCCATTAGCCATATCATCATAGATTCATGATTTTCTGCTGTTAAAAAATGGTCTTTACCATCAACACTAGAAAATAACCAAGAGGGATAATCAAACTCAGAGAGAAATAGAGAATAGGATCGGGGGAGAGAAAGAGAGAAATGGGGTTTAAAGTCCACTCCACACAAACTAGGCTATTTCGGGACTAACATATGGTTCAATTTTATTTCCATAATTCGCTTGTGTTTAGGGGTCTTTAGCAGCAGGAGGAAACCAGAGGACCCGAGAAAACCTTCTATGGTTGGACAGGCGACTGTACTCCTTTCCTGTTCAACCAGGGAATCGAAACCACACCAGTTGACAAAATGACAGATCGTTCGGCCATCCAACCCCCCGAATAGGATCGGAATGTTGTTTAATGTCTTATCAACACAATACATCAGTCATTTTGGCATAACACACGGTTATTTTTTATTTCAGCGTGCAATGCTAACGAGTCTTGTCCAGACAAGTCTTCATTAAATTCCACCTTTATTTAACATACAATACGTCAGTCATTTTGGCATACATTTATTTTTTATTTCAGTGTGCAATGCTACAAATTCTTGTATGGACAGCAGCAAGCAGCATTAAGGCCTAGTCTTCATCAAATTTCACTGTTATTTTACCTATGCACAGTTTGCACGTGGACGGACCTCAGTTTTGCGTCCCATCCAACTGACTTGGCAACACTTTCCCGGTCATTTCCTGAAAAGTGGGTACCATGCTTGACAAACCCCCAGGTTCTTCTCACAACATGTTTTGAATTGAACCAATGACATTCTTGTCAAGAGTCCAATACCTTTACTGCTCAAATTCTGCAGTCCCAGCAGAGATAGAGTATCTAATTTACCATCCACTAAACACAAACTAGGTCATTTTGGGACTAACATACAGTACACTTTTGCTTCAACAATTGGTTTGTAGCAAGGTTCTTTAGAATTTGGAAGAAGCCAGTGTACTGGGCTGGTAATTCTGCTGGGGATCTTGTCCTATCACATTGGCTTAGCACATGGCTATTATATCTTTATTGGGATTCCATGCTACGAAGCTGGTGTTCATTGAAATGGTATCTGTGAAAATTTCATAAGATTCCATTGACTTATAGTAGAATGACATAATGTTCAAATTGTGGTCATCACTTCAAAATTTTGCACATACATCAATTTTGTGTGTACCATATATGCATATATATCAAATAAGCCAAAATGTTGTTCCATATGAACATTTCAAGCATAAGTCAAATCTAAAATTATCTAAGGCTTTTAAACTGCCAGACTGGTCAAATCCTCAGTTAAGTCATGTCCACTGCTTGTTCTGAACTAGCAAAAACCGCCAAAAGGTGGATCAAAGACCGACAGAGAACATATGCGAGAGAGAGAGAAATGGGGTTTAACGTCCACTCGACACAAACTAGGTCATTTCGGGACTAACATATGGTTTAATTTTATTTCAATAATTTGCTTGCGCGTAGGGTTATTTAGCAATGGGAGGAAACTGGAGGACCCGGAGAAAACCCACGAGGTGAGAACATATGCACCAAGCATGCTAATTAGCATAAAGTCAAATAAAATGTAAATAATTAAAAACTTTTAAATAATTTAGAAATGATTAATGATGACTTACATGATGATGAATTGGTTTTGATTATCTAGGTCGAGTGTAATGGCTGCCCCCTTGAGATTAATTAATCCTTGGGGCTGTTTACGACCTGCATCGTCTTCTGTTTTAAAATAAAGTAACTGACATTGACTTTCTTCTAAAGTAAACCACATCTTTTTCTTGGCCTTTAAACGACCCAATGCTGTAATAATATTTTATAATATTAATTAATTAATACCCCTCCAAACATTCAAAAGATTATTTTTACATTTAGTGAAAACATTTATCATGAAATAGTAATTGGAGGTGCTAGTGCAATAAGGTGGACAAGTGCCATTGTTTTTTTAAATAAGATCATTTGATTTTTTAAAATAGACAGTAAAAAGAATAGACAAAGAAGACAGTACACAGGACAGAGTGTCATGGAATACAATTGAGGATGCTAGTGCACAATAAAGTTGTCAATGCCATTGTTTTTAAATAAGATCAATTGATTTTTTTCAAATAAATCCATTTTTAGCAGATTTCTTAACAACTTGTTCAGTTTTATCACAGGATATATGTCAATTTTAGTGTTCTGGTTTAAAAATATACAAAAATACTATTTTTGGCAGATTGTGTGAAATGGCCATTGTCCAACTTATTGCACACTAGCATCCTCAATTCATTCTCCAAAAACAAAAATTCGTAAATTATTTTCCATTTTTAACCCTTTAGGACTTGATTCATGTAAATATTGCCCAGGATTCCCTGAAAAATTAAGAGAAAATTTGAAGTTGAACTTGAATGCTGCTCTCTTGACCACGATAAAACAGTCGTGTAACAGATCAAGTATATCGTCTTTAATGGCCAATTCAGCGCTTTATTTGTCTTTAACCAAGTAAGAAATTTTGACGATAAAAGCTATTTAAATAGCCAAAAGGAAATATTTCATTAATAAATAATTATTATAAATCCTACTATCTCTTACACCATACTGACAAAACATGTGAATTCACGATACCCTACCATAAATAAAAACCATGAAATATGAATTTAATTTGCAAAGTGTTCGTGCATTATCAAAAATGACCGGCAGTGAAAATTTTGAAGCGGAAGCCCTGGTTCACAACTAATTACTTTTGAATTGTTTCGGGAGGTCCAAATGTTAAACGGGTAAAAAAAAAAAAGATTTTTACTTTAAGTGATACATTTATGTAATGATGAATCATTAAAACTAATCAATATTGTACCGCATGTTTAAAAGATATTTTAAAAAAATTAGTAATTGTGACAGATTGGTTTAGTCTTGATTTAAGAGATCCTGCAATATTGAATCATAGAAATGAATCACATCCCAGCTACACAATATAGCGCTATGTTTTTGTATCCGTAAATTGATCTGTATCAAGGTTGGGTTCCGAAAGTATATTGTATAGGGGCTTCAGTATAACATTGGCATAGAGGTCTGTGGTAACTTGATCTGTAATCACACAATTTTAGGATTGATCCACTGCTGTATGTTGATTCCTTGGCTCCATGAATATTATTTGGGTAAAATCGAATACACGTTCTCAAAATCCATATATTACAGGCACACATGTTGAAAATCCATATTACAGCAAATATGTTCAAAATCCACATTGCTGAAAACGTTCAAAATCCATATCAGAGTAAAAAAAAAGAGTCCAAAATCCACATCAGAGAAAACATCTTCAAAATCCACATCACAGAAAACATGTTCAGAATCCAGATCACAGAAAACATATTCAAAATCCATTGTACAGAAAACATGTTTAAAATCCAGTGTACAGAAAACATGTTTAAAATCCGTTTTACAGAAAACATGTTTAAAATCCACATCACAGAAAACATGTTCAAAATCCACATCACAGAAAACATGTTCAAAATCCACATCACAGAAAACATGTTTAAGATATAAATCACAGGAAACATGCTATAAATCCATATTGCAGAAAATGCACTAAAAATCCACATCACAGAAAACATGTTCAAAACCTACTTCACACAAAACATGCCCAAAATCCATATTACAGAAATCATGTTCAATATCCATACTATAGGACACATAGCCCAAAAATCATTACACAAAACTTATTCCAGGTCCATATTACTGTTTTAAAAATCCATATTATAACATAAATCGGGGTAAGTTTATCGACGGATGACACAAAGCCTTAAGTTTAAACAGTAATCCAGTTTCCAAGCCAGCCAACATACATGTACCGGTAAGCTCCGTCCACCTTTCATAAAATTTGCATTTCACATTTGAAATGCTACATTCCGTTATCATATTTAAAGATACATTATGGAAGATTAAAGAGCTGGCAGTTCTCATTATAATAGTTAAAACTAGATGATGTAAATGGAATATACTGAAAATTTCAGTCAAATTGGTTTACTCTAAGCCGAAAATACCTTATTTAAAAAAATCACTGTAGCCTCGATTGTCATTGTTACCAATGTCATGATAACGATAATTAACAAAGTCTTGATTATCCATTTTTGTGTTTAATCATCAACAGACATTGAACAGCAGATCGGATTCAAATCTGTTTAAAATCGTACCCATCAGATGGCATCGAAAGTTGATTATGGTCATTCCATGTTAATTAATGTCTAATTAATAATTTAGATAACATTTCAGGCCTAAAGAAAGACCAGCAATAAACAAAATTAGCTCTTGCATAATGCATTTTTAACAGATTGAAGTATCCATACAAGATGATTATAATTATTCGTTATAACAGTAATTATATATGTTACGATTCCCAAAAGAAAAAAAATATAGCCTGAATGTGAAAGTTTGGGGTTGGTTAAAATTTTTAGTCACTCAGCAGTTTACAAATGTTTATAAATTGTTTCAATGGTATTTAATAATTAAACATTTAATACACCAGACACCATTCTCTGGAATACAATTACTATTTATAACTGAGCAATGTTTCGACTTTAGATTCTCTGGTCTTTTCTACTTGATAAAGACTAAGAGAATCATAGTCAAAACATCGCTTAAAAATAAAAACAGAAATTGTGTCACCCTGTATAATTGTTTACAGGTCTTCTTTAAAGTAATCAGTTTTTCTATAAAAAGTTCAAATTTCCAATAATTACTATTGTTTATATCTTTATCATATTCATATCTATAATTATATAAACAGGTGTTCCCATTACCTCCCTTTGATGTAGTAATTATTACCTGTTTATCACATGATCGATATCACATGACTTATATATAACAATTAAACAATAATAAATATCTGGTATTACTTATATATCACAAATCGATATATATAATATTCATCACAATTTGTAAATGTGTGTTTCAGCGTGTTGCACTACAAAGAGGTCGAAATATTGTACATGTACTTTTAAAAAAAAATCCCAATATCTAATAATTCCAAATAACAAAGCGGTCACTTTAAAAAAAAAATCTGTCATACAAACAACGACTAAATGGAAGCAGAATAAATATTTAGTAAAATTCTTGAAGTGTACTTGGTGTTTTCAATTAAAATTGTCGATTTAGGACCTAAAATGTCGGTCAACTAGCTTAGTGTCTGTATTCAAGAGAAGCTGATTGTAGACAGACAGCCTAAGTTTAGTATGGTTATTATATTATTCCTCACTGTTATAGTTCTAGGGAACAAAGGGTGTTTTTTGAGATCTAGTTTTTTACTTATACCGGTAGTTCCTGGTAACAAAATACTGTTTTTTTACTTATAGTTCCAGGTAACAAAATGCTGTTTTGTACTTATAGTTCCAGGTAACAAAATACTGTTTTTACTTATAGTTCCAGGTAACAAAATACTGTTTTTAATTATAGTTTCAGGTAACAAAATGCTATTTTTACTTATAGTTCCAGGTAACAAAGTGTGTTTTTTGAGATCATAGAATATAAGCACACTTGAGTCCCACTACAGCGACTTTCATAGTTAACTGGGATTTTATTTTCCTTCAGTGGGAAGCTTAATACCATATCTATTGTCCATCTTTAATGAATCAGGACTAAAGCAGTATGTTATTCAAGTTACGATGAAGAATCCCGTTAACGCAATCACTGCCTAGTTGATGATAAAAATCTGTAAAGACACATTCTTTTTCGCACAAAATATACCCAACCCATTCTTTCCATCACAATATCTCTGCACTTTTGATGATCAAATTATTTAGACAACACACTGATTCCTTGCATTCTATCCATTTTTCCAGATCAGGAATGTTCATATTGACTTTCATGTACATATGATAAAATAAGCTTCATTCTTGAAATCACATTTTTTTTTTTTTTCAGAATGGTCATCACAAACATTCCACAGTCTATATCAGAACATACAGAAATCGTCGAGTTTGCTGCAAGTGTATGATGATGATGGTGATGATGATGATATCCAAAATTCCACATTCTAAGTCACAACATATAGAAACAGGTAAGATTGATGCAAACTGGATTATGATGATGATGATGATGATGACAATGATGATATTTCAGAATGGTCATCATAAAATTTCACAGCCCATTCACAACATACAGAAATAGATGATGATGATGATGATGATGATGGTATCTAAAACTATACTTACTAAATGTGGTAGTACTTCCGCCAGGTTTGTAATGAAGATATCCCGACAAACTTGTCCAACCTGCCATGGTGATAATACAGGTGGATTACCTCCCTTGTTCATTCACATTGGTTATTACAACTGCTTTTTAAATCTATGTAATTCATGTAGCACCTGGATTCTACATGTATATCTAGGAACTTTATAATCCTCCCATTCTTTTATTTACCTACAAGAGAAAGACAAAATGGTTAAATAAGTAATTATTTGAATTCATGCCAAAAATGTTGATTGCAGAATTAGGTTTCCGTAATTTGAAGCATATTTGGGATACCTATCGTTAAAAACCAACACTTCTAACGTCTATACATGTGTACAAAGAAAATTCTGTAGATCAATGCGTCCTGTAAATAGGTTTAAAGAAATCAATTGTGTGACTGCTGAATTCCAGCATTTACTACCAGACCAGGCAGCTTTCACGTACAACAAGCAGGGAATCAGAACCACGCCATTTGACTTAAATGACAGACCTTCTGATCCAATTCACAGGCCACCCAACGCCCCTGTTTAGAGGGTGCCCCTTAGAAAGTTAATCAGCGATATCATGCTAAGCTTGAAAACAACAATAACAACAAAAAACATAAACTTTAACCAATTCGAAATCTACAGCATTGAAAACAAAACAAAAACAAGATAAAAGATTTCTTCAGTAATAAAACACCTGCACATTAACAGGTAGCTCTAAGGTAGTTCAAGGCCAAACTAAATTAATGTTTAGTTATACAGGATATTGATAAATAAATAAACCACTTTATTCCGGAGACCAATATGTTTGTTTCAAATTCTAAAACTTAAAGGGGCATTAGGTAAGATTAGATAACTGTCTCGATTATCCATTTTTACGTCAAATCATCCATCACAAAACATATTAAAATCCACTAAAAATCGCAGGCTATCGATGGTATCGAGAGTTGATTATGGTCTTGATTAATTAATTAATTAATGTCTAATTAATAATTTAGATAACATATAGAAAGAACTGCAATAGGCAGATTTAGTTCAGGCATAATGTATGTTTAAAAATGTGGAACTAAAAACCAAGACATGATAAGTACACTTATTGTTTTTAATCCCTGACTCTCCATCAGAACGAAGAAGTAAGCACAATTTTTAATATTCAAATTGATGTGGCCTTATACGCAGCAAAACAATTCCATAAATTATCACTGGATATTTATAAGTATATTGTTGAACATGAAACAAGTGCTCTAGATCATCTACCTGCACTGTATACACCCACTACTCATGAGACAAATTATGTACTTGTGAATAAAAATGTTTTACTTTATTATTGACTGCTGGCGTTCTGGAAAAAAGAGTCTTTGTGGCCTACACATAAAAACACATCCTGAATATGTGCTTGACTGATGAATTATTTCTACATTCAAATTTCAATTTCATTCTGAGAGAGCTACATCCACATGACACTAGCTAGGTCATTTCAGAGAGAGAATGAGAAAGAAATGGGGTTTAACGTCCACTCGACACAAACTAGGTCATTTCAGGACTAACATAGGGTTCAAATTTATTTCAATAATTCGCTTACACGTAGGGGTCTTTAGCAGTGGGAGGAAACCGGAGGACCCGGATAAAACCCACGAGGTTGGACAGATGACCAGGTAATCAAAACCAAGCCAGCAGATTCAATGACAGACCTTATGATAAAGCATGCATGTGCTAACCATTCGGCCATCCAACCCCACTTGGTCATTTCAGGGCTAACGCATGATATCTTTATTTCACTAATTTGTTTCTATGTAGGGGTCTTTAGCAGTAGGATGAAACCAAAAGAATTAATTGAAATATTACCATTAACATATATTCTTATTAGACTATGCTCTAAGATGTTATATCAGTGTTAAGATAACCCATAATTAATTCAACCATAGAAAGATAATTATAAGGTCCCGACAGACCGTGGTGACATTAGTGAGCCAACATCTTACTGAGCCATCATGGCTCCCCTAAACCAAAGGATGAGAACAGATATATGACTTCACAAACATTACCAGTAAAATGCAATATTCAGACCACAGTAATTAGAACATTTAAAGTGGGAAATGAAATGGGGTTTAAAGTCCTACTCCTAAACTGGGCTAATGAAGACGGGCATATGCCATACAGTGTGCTATGAGGGAAATTTTGCCCGGACAGCGGCGCTACGGCCTACTCTTATATTAAATTCCAACTGCCAAAGGATCTTTTACACGCACACCAATATGTACACGGGACCTCGGTTTTTCGTCCCATCCAAATGACTAGACAGCTGTTCTTCTCAGGCCCTCAGTCCTGCATCACTGACACGCCAGACAATCTGGATGAACTTTCTCGGCCAATGCAGGGATCGAACACCCGACCATTTAAAGTGGGAACACATTAAATTTTTTTGATAACGCCTAGTCAAAACGTCACTCAGATAATAAGCAGTAATTGTATTCCATAGAATTGTTACCTGTATATTCCATTTTAATTACAAAACACCTTTAAAACAATCTATGGGAAATAATTCACCTACAATGTTTTGATCAGCTTACAACTACTAGTATCCAAATTGTCAAAAGAAAAAAAAAAAAAGCTTAAAAGAAAAAAAACACACACACAGGCACTGACATCATAATGAAATATAATCCTTAAAATAGAAATTAACAACAGTTCACCTAAGGTGCCACGGTGGTTAGGTGGTTAAGACGCTGGCTAGGTAGCCTGGAGGTCGGGTGTTCGATCCCTGCATTGGCCGAGAAAGTTCATCAGGATTTTCCGACGTGGTTTCCACTTGTCAGTGGTGCAGAACGGAGGGCCTGACAAGGACAGCTGTCTAGTCCTTCGGATGAGACGAAAAACCGAGGTCCCGTGTATACATTGAAATGCACGTAAAACATCCTGTGGCAGTTGGAATTTGATATATAAGAGTAGGCGATAGTGCCACTGCCTGGGCAAAATTTCTCTCATAGCACACTGTATGGCGTATGCCCGTTTTCATAAGCCCAGTATAGGAGCAGAACAGTAGGACGTTAAACCCCATTTTTATTTCATTTCACAGTTCACCTATTATATATGTTTTGTTGAGTTTATAACTACCAGTTAACAAATTCACAAAACTTCCCACAGAATATGATCCTTAGAGTAACAATAAACAGCTCCAACTATTAAAGGTAATTAGAATCCCCCTATTACATTTGTTTTGTTCAGTCTACAAGCACATCATCACCAGTATGCAAAAACCCTTCAAAAAATTTAAAACAAACAAAAAACACTCTTTATATCAAAATATAATCCTTAAACACAACCAACATACAGGTGATCACTGTTGTACAGGTAGATATAATTAATCCAGGTAAGCACATGAGATAAAATCACCTGTAAATCACTATAAACAGCTACATAATATAATTACTTATAGATAATCACAGGTATAGGGATTACACACAGGTATAGCGTTTTCACTAATGCAAAATTTAAACATCCACTAAATAAAAATAGGTATAGGTATAAACAGGTATAGGTGTTACACATACATAGGCATTGCCTATATCCAAATTCAGATATCTACCTATAAAATGTTGTTTACCAAAAAACCCCACAAAAAACAGGTTTATACTATATAGTTACTTATAAATGGTGTTATATATAGGTATATAGAATGTTCTTCAATCGAAATTCTGGTTTCTACTGAATAAACATATTGTTTACCAACAAAACAACTCCAAATTAAACAGGTATATATTATATATAATCACATGTAATTAGTTATGAATATACTCCAAGAAGACAGGTATTGGGGTTACACACAGGTATGGAGTGTTACCTTGTCCAAATACTGAATAAAAATATTGTTTACAAAAACTACAACCAAAAACAATAATTTAAGAAAATACCTGTAACATGTAAATATGCATGTGCAAAAACACATATAATAAATCTTTAAACCGACAAAAACTAGATATATACCTGCTTAAAATTCAGGTAAACCTATAATGACTTATACATATACAGGTATCTAATATATAATCCAAGAGGACACCTCTGACATGGTAAATATGCACTAGCAATAACACTGCATGATAAATATTTGAACCAAAGAATAAAACAAAAACTATATACCTGCTTAAAAATCAGGTGACTAGTTTGAGTAATAGAAACATTTACCTCTACGCAACAACTATACAGGTAGGTAATAAAAATAAACTGAATAACCTCTAGGCTAGAGAAGTCTCAACTTCACTTGGATCGTACATCAACATTTCATAAAGCTCATTTGATTGACACCTGTCAATTATGTCTGTATATAAGTTATAGATCACTGTTCAATAAGACCCGACCAGCCTCCAATAAATAAATATAATCACTCCCACGATATATACAGGATAGACACCTCTTATATAATGTACTTAATCCACTAATTCATGTCCTGTAAAATTTGTTCTGATAATTAATAATTATGTTAATCATTTATCAAACAGGAATGTGAGATTTGAAGAGAGAGAGAGAGAGAGAGAGAGAGAGAGAGAGAGAGGGGTTTTAGTCCACTTGGCATAGGACTAACACATGGTTCAATTTTAGCAGTGGGAGGAAACCGGAGGACCTGGAGAAAACCCAAGAGGTTGGACAGGCGACCCTACTCTATGTCACATACAACTGGGGAATCGAAACCACACCAGTTGACTCAATGACAGTCATATGCATTTTTGCTCAAACATAATTCATGATTATGTTGAGGGGTTAACAAAAAGGGTATAGAGACCCGAAAAGTTATAATTAAATTACCATCGATCCTCTTTTCTACCTGATTTTGGTTAGTACTTTTGTGGAAAATGGATTATTCCTTGCTGATAATTAATGATTATGTCGCACAATGACCAAAAGGGTTGTAATACCCAAACCGCTATGATTAAATTACCACTCTATTCTTCATGAAGTCAGTACTTTTTTGAGCGAGTATTATTCCATGTTCTAACAAATGATATCCTAAAAGATGTGCAAACTCGCTGATAATCCATATTATGTTAATCAATTATCAAAACAATACTTAACTTATTTTATAAATTTATCTACTTCTTCTGTAAATATTTAATCTGTAGAATTAATATTATGTAAATCGAATCGACAGTCGACATGATTAGAATGAAATGAATTTTAACCTCTTACATCTCTCTACTGACTGCACTATAT